ATCAATTGAAAACTAATCTATAGTGGCAGAAAAAGGAACAGTGGTTGTCTGGAGATGGGAAGGGGATGGCAGGAGGGAGGGATTACAAAGGGACATAAGGAAATTTTGGGGAGTGATGGATATGTTCATTATCTTGAATGTGGCTATCATTCATGGGTATACATTTTGAATATATATTCAAAACTTATCAAATAGTACACTTTAAACACATGCAGTTTGTTGTATGTCAGTTATGTCTCAACAAAGCTGTCTTTAAAAAAAAATCAGTAATAAAGACAGTATGGTATTGGCATAAGTATAGATTAGTAGAACAGAATTGAGAATCAGAAAAAAAGAATCACATTTATATGGTCAATTGATTTTCAACAAAGATGCCCAAAAATTCAATGGGAAAAGATTATCTTTTCAATAAATTGTGCTGGAATAACTATATATCATATAGAAAAAAGTTACCCATGATACCCTACTAAAAAATTAATTCAAAGTGGATAATTGACCTTACATAAAATCTAAAACCATAAAACTGCTAAATACATACATACATAAGTAAAAATCTTGTTGACAATACCTGCTCTACTTCCCTCCTTCTCTGGCCTCATGGTTCCAGCAGGAAACAGGAATCTAATATTTTACACACAGATACACACACACTCTTGAGGAGAAGCAGGGACACTCTGACACCACAGCCCGAGCAGTGTTGGCAGGGCGAAGTGAGGAGTGGGTCTTTGACCCCCTACCCAGCAGAAACAGGCAACGCTCTAATCCACGCTCCTGTGTAGTGTCAACTGGCATAGCAGGGAGCCAAGCCACCACACCCAGTCAGCCAGTGGAATAAGCTGAGGTAAGGAAGCTGGTCTTCGATTAATTATCAATCCAATTCCATGTTCTTATTTCGTCTTTCTTTCAATTAGATGTATAGAAAATATCATAAGATGACCCCTAAAGAGTCATACTCTTGACAGACCCAACCCCCTGAGTGTGAAAACAACCTGTGACCTGACTCTACCCAATAGAATATGGCAAAGATGACAGGATATCACCCACTGGTTATGTTATGTTATATGGTAAAGGTAAAATTACATTTAAAAATGTAATTAAGGTCTAAGCAGTTACTTTTGAGTTAATCAAAGGGGAAGTTATCCTGGTATCTTGGGTGGGCCTTATCTAACTAGGGAAGTGTTCTAAAACTTAGATCTATTAGTGTTTGAACTGAAACATTTAACAAATTCATAAAACTATGTATTTTTTATTATATTTAATTTTACCTCAGTAATTTTTTGAGTTAATGTTAAGACTTCTCTTCTGCAATAGGACTCTAGCAGCAGAATTTAGACGCAATGAAAGGTTGAGAGCTAGAGATTATTTCCCCAGAACTTGCAAATCAGACTACCGAGATAGGTACTTATTTGTAATACTATTCACAAGGAGGAGACATTGGAAGTTTTACTCAAAGGCCACTCATTTGTTTGATTTAATACATGGTCTGGGCATAACTGAGTATTCCTGAGTTTTCTCATACTTTGAAAAGTGGAATAAATAAGAAGATTCAACTCTTTAACCATGTAACCTTTCCAGGTTCATCAGGTGTATTCGGTTGTCAATGGCTTCTTTAGCCCCACAACATAGAGTTGAGTAGTTGCTGTAGAGACCATGTGGCCTGAAAAGCCTAACCTGTTTGCTATCGGGCCCTTTACAGAAAATATTTGTCAACCTCCACTTTAGATAAAAAAGAACACATTCTTTCTACATCTCTTCTAAATAGGAATGAAACAAAGATAATCAAACTGATAAGACATAGCTGATATGTACAAACTTATTTAGAAATCTAATAAACAATATATGCAAAATGTAGTTCAGCCAAGATGACACTATTTTATAGCTTACTAATATAAAAGCATTAAAATTAGCAATTGTTACCTGAAGTAACTCAATGGTATTTTTACTTTTGTCTGTCTGTGTACCTCAGGTTTTATTGGATCATGAACCTAAGTGTGACTGTTGTCTTTTTGGGGATATCTTACATTCAGTATTCAGGAGATTGGACTCTGGTTTTACTTATTCCCTTTATGTCTATGCTTATGGCTCTAATAACTCTTCATATGATGCATTATAACCTGATTTACCAACCAGAAAAATGCAAGTAAATCACAGTTTACATTAACTTTTTTTGTTTTTTATGGGTTTTGTTTTGTTTTGTTTTTTTGACACTTCTTCCTCCTTGATTTCCTATAACTTCTCTTTCAACTCACAGAATTTGTAAATTCTGCCTGTTACACTTGGGAGCAACAGAGTCTGAAAGAATATCAATAGCATCTATCTTCTTTTAGTTTTCTCTCGTTAAAAAGTTTTAATAATGGAATATTTTAAACATAAACAAAACTAGAAGAAAATCATATATGAACCCCATCTATCTTGCTCTCAGCTTGAGCAATTATCAACTTATCTTTACTCACTTTTTCCAATCTCTCCTGGTAATTTTGAAGAAAAACTACATATTACAGCACTCCATTTATGCGTGCATGTGTGTGTGTTTAATATGTATATGTTATATATAAGATAAACAAAAAAAATATATAATCACAATGTCATTTTCTCACTCACATGTGTACACAGAAAAGGAATTTTTTAACATCATCAAATATTTGGTTACTGTTAAAATCTAATTGTTTTCATTTTTTAATTTTTTATTTTTTTTGTTTTATACTTTAATCAAATCAAGTCCAAATGAGATCCATATATTCTAAATGAGAGATATGTCTCTTAAACCATATATATTCCCCCTTCATCTCTGTCTCTTTTCAAAACTTTTTAAGGGATCTGAACATTTCAATGAGCATTTCCAATAGTCTAGATTTTGCCAATTACATCCATGTGGTGTCATCCAACAGGTGTTTCGCCTATTTCCTGTAAATTGTCTGATAGTCATAGATAATCAGATTCAGATTTTTTGGTGGTGGTGGTGGGAGTTTCTTCATAAATGATGTTAAATACTTCAATCAAGAGACATAATGACTGATTATCTCTATTTTTGCAGTGTCAGCATATACTGATGATTTTTGCCTAAATTCACTACTGCATTGGGGTATTGCAGGGTAGTGAGAAAAAGAGATAAATGTTTAATTCTTTCCCTCTGTTTTTAGATTTTGTAATTGAGTTGAGCTTCAATATTTTCCAAAGGTGACCTATTAGTTTTCTTTTGTTTACCTTTTATTATTAATTTGTTGACATAAAAATTTTATTTTATTTTATTTATTTCTTAACACCTACAGCACCTGGTATTCCTAGGTAGTCTCTCATCCAAGTACTAACCAGGCTAGACCCTGCTTAGCTTCCGAGATCAGACGAGATCAGGCACATTCAGAGTGGCATGGCTGTAGACCATAAAAATTTTAATGTGTTTTAATCTACTATAATTACTGATGTTCAAATTATTTCGTATGTGGGCAGTGAGGTCCTCTTCATGTTGGTGCCTGAGTCCTTCAGATAAGCCTCTTTGATTGCTCCCTTGCTTTCTGGTATAAGATAGTCTATGGTCATCACTTCATTCCCTGAACTTTGAGTCATCTCTTTCTCCAGAAAAACTGTGCTTCCTTTTTGTATGTAATGGTACTTAGAAACTACAGTCTTGGTGATGGGGATGCTCACCACTACTTAATCTATCACAATTTCTAGGTCTTTCAGTGCACAAAGCTAGAAAATGTTCTTTTTTTTCTTTCTAAAATAACATACATTTTGGATTATACTAACACCCTAGTCAAAACCAGTACTACAGGATTTTTACTTAATGTTATCAAACGCAGATCTTCTTTTTCCCATGCCAAAAAGCCAAGTTCTCAATAACAGTAATTGTACATTTGCTTTATCCCAAAAGATATACTCAGTTATCTTAGACTATCACCAGCAACAAGATTGTTGAAAGACTTTCAGGATTCTTCCTGCAGTTTTGTTCCTTTATGTGTTAACCCCTGGAATGTTCGCTAAAATTATTACGTTTTAAAGTCCCTTGGTATTGTCTCTCTGGTTATACCACTAAATTTATATATAATTAAGTGCATTTGTTCCATTTGTTTTTATACTTTGAGATATTTTTAAATATTATTTTTGTTTTAAATCATGTAAAATGAGGTTTATATGTTCCTATATCTTCTCCTATTCCTTTAGGTGTCAATTTACATATTTTTAAAAAATTAACATTTTTTTTAATTAAAGAAAATATTAAAATTTTATGTGTGTATGTCTCTCTGTATATGTATGTATTTCTCCCTTCTTATATAAGCAGTAGCATATTATTCACTCTTTTCTTGTTTTTTCGTTTGTTATAATCTGGGGGTTACTTTGTAATTGTATATAAAAATATTCCCCATGCCTTTTTATAGCTGCATAGTACTCCATTGTATAGTGAATCATTGTTTATTTTACCAGTCATATTGATACACATTTGGATTATTTCTTTATTTTTGCTGTTATATAGGTTCTAATGAATAGCTTGTCTATCTCTTTGCATTTTTCCCCAGCATATCTTTAGGGTAGATTCCTACAAGTCGAATTGCTAAATCAAGAAGTAAACCCACAGATAATTTTGCTATATATGGTCAAGTTCCCTTCTATAGTGGTTGTAACATGTATATTTTCACCAAAAATGAGAATGCTTGTTTCCTCATAGTCTTCCCAACACAGTACATTGTCACACTTTTGATTTTTGCCACTTTGATGGTGAGAAATGGTATCTTACTGAAGTATTAATTTATACTTATTTTATTATGAGAAAAGTTGTACATCTTTTTATTTCCGAAGAGTAATATGAATTCTTTTTCAGTGAACTATCTGTTCATATATCTAGTTCACTTTTTTATGAGATTGCAGACTTTTTCCTTCAATTTTTAGAAATCTTTTCTGTCAGCCCCAAGTAATAAAAAAGAGGAACATGTCCAGTATAAACTGTTATTGAAAGATCACTCTGACATTTGAGTGTGTAATTATACATATAGGTACATATATATACAATTTTTTTAGATTCAAATTTTCTAAATAACTATTGAGCATCCATCCATTTGCTTTTCAATTTCCTATTTGAAAATAAGTTCATCTGAATAAAGAAATACATTTCTTCAAGTTATACAGATCTATATAATCAACTCTGTTTATTGCCAGTCAATAGTTGTCCATATGTTACATTTTTTAACATGTAATAAAGTAAGCTTTGTTTGGACATTTACAAACAGAAAATTATTAGCTGCAAGTAAAATTATAATAGAAAATGTTTGCCAGTGGTTTACTTTACATAATACTCTATAAAATAAATATTTCAAAGTTGCTTTTTGTTTTGTTTTGTTTTCTATTTCTAAGTTATAGGATAACCCAACTCTGATGAAGTAAAACTCTGACTTCCCTCTAGCAAAGTATATAATTTTTATTTTGGCTTCTTCCTCTCTGATGACTAAATTGGAAATTCCTCAAAGCTGTAATTCAAAGCCATAGGTGACCTTAAAGAAATGATTTTTTTATATGCTACCTTTTATTTTAAGGAAACTTTCCAAATGTAGACCATGCATTCCATTATGTTTAGCTGTCAAGCACGGCCTTCATTTGCATTTCTTCCCACTGCTATAATTTTGAGAACTGGCAGGTGACCAAAGAAGAAAAAAATGTGCATCTACCATCTAGAGTGCAATGTAGGCTTTTTTATTATAATTAAGTAGCATAGATATTCATGATTAGATCAAGGTCAGAGGAGCAGAACATCAGAGCCAAGGACTTAAAGGTACAAAGGACGGAAAAATTGCTTTCTAAAGTTTTTTTTTTAATAGTAATGGTGACAATCTTTAAATTTTGCAATAAAACATTTTAAATAGCTCATCTGTTTTATTTTAAAATAAAATAAAACACCTGGTGTGTTTGCACATTTAAACCAGAGCTTGAAGTCTCAGTTGCATTTTCATTCCAGTTTTTTTCAACTTCCCATTTCTGTCCCTGGTGCAGAAAAGCAATTTGAGAATTATAATGACAATGGATTCTTTTAAAGGCTGAGTCTACATGACACCAAAATTATTTGTACAGAAGGCATGCGTTTTCTATTAAGTCTAATGGATTAATCCAAGGAGGAGGTGTGATGCATAGATGTAGATGTTTTCAACAGCATATCCCTCATAATATTCAGTGATAACTCTACGGTTTGATGAGACAAATAGATTACTATACAGTTCTTTTTCTTGCCCTCTCTAACTAGCTTATTGGCTCGCTCTCAGTCCAGCTGATCAATATAGGTTTTTTACTTCTTCCCTCTGACTTACAGCCCATCTAGCATGTCGTCTGTTGTCCACACTTCCTCCAAATCCTTGGCTAGGTTCTCTCCTACTAATTAATGCAGAACCCTAGGATTCATTCCAGGAGCCCTGGCTCTTCTTTTCCCACTCTCTTTTCTTAAGTAATCTCCAGTTGTGTAGTTTTTAATGCCAACAATACACCAAGCACTCAATTTCCTGTGGACCTCTCTGCTCACCTTGAAACTTATATATTTGACTTCTTATTCAATATTGTGACTTGATTATCTAATAGTCAGCTCAAAATTACCCTGACCAAAACTCAATTCTTGATTCTTCCAATTGCAAACTGACTCCTTTCTTGTCTTTTCCATTTCAGTGTAAATTAACAACACCCAGTTGTTTAAGCAGGAAAAAAAATTCATCTTCAATATTCTCATTTCTTCAACCTCTCCCTACATAAGAAAATCCTACTGATTATTCAAAAGCACATCCTATCCTATTCATTTCTCTTCATTGTTACTATGTCCAAGTTACCACTACCTCTGGCTTTTCTCCTAGCTTCCTTCTTATTCCCTAAAATCCATTATCCATACAGCTACCAGAGTTCTACAGTAAACTTTTAAAAAGATATACATCATATGGTATCTCTATTCTGCATAAAACTTCTTGTGCTCACTTTGGCAGCACATATACTAAAAAAAAAACAAAAAAGAAAAAGAAAAAAAAAAAAAAAACACTTCTTAATGGTCTCGCATAACACTGAGGATAAAATCCAAGCTCCTTACTTTGGCCTGTGAAGTCTGACCCCTGACCAACTTTTGGACATCATCTCCTTCCAATCTTCTGACTGCTGAGATACGGCTTCATTGGCCTTTACTGTACCCACATCTTTCCCAACTCATTGCTACTTCGTGACATACCTGGCATATACTTCCTACAGGTTTCTTTGCTTACTTCCATTCTATTCAATATGTTTTTTAGATTAGGACTTTAATTGATTCAATTAATTTTGCCCACCTACTGAGTTTCATTTTCA